CTGAAGCGGCCTGCTTGTTTTCCAGCCTGCTGTGCTGACCTCCCTGATGGGGCCGCGTGCTCGGTGCTGGAGCCTTGCGGGGAGGGCTGGGGGGGTGCTCGGTCCGGGACGAGGGGGCCCTGAGTGCCGCCCACCCCCTCGCCGGCTGGGAGTGTAAGCTGGGAGTGTAGCTGGTCGGAAGAACAGATGTGTCTCCCCAGCGACCTGCCGGGAGCCCCGCAGACTCAGAGCAGGCACTCCCTTCAGCCGCAGTTCCTGTGGGACCCGCCAGGCTGGGCCCTGCTCGCCCGAGGCCCGTGGCCCAGGAAGCAGATCTGTCTTATGCAAGGAATTAGATGTCTTTACACTTAGGGATGTGAGAGTTGGACCATAAAGAAGACTGTGCACCGAAGAANTGGTGTTGGAGAAGACTCTTGAGAGTCCCTTGGACTGCAAGGAGATCCAACCAGTCCATCCTAAAGGAGATCAGTCCTGGGTGTTCATTGGAAGGACTGATGCTGAAGCTGAAACTCCAATACTTTGGCCACCTGATGTGATGAACTGACTCATTGGAAAAGACCCTGATGCTGGGAGAGATTGAAGGCAGGAGGGGAAGGGGACGACAGAGGATGAGACGGCTGGATGGTGTTACCGACTCTATGGACATGAGTTTGAAGCCTGCTCCCCTGCAGTCCTAAGCTATGCTATGCTAAGTCGCTTCAGTCTGTCCAACTCTTGTGACCCCGTGGACTGCAGCCCACCAGGCTCCTCTGTCCATGGGATTCTCCAGGCAAGAATACTGGGGCGGGCTGCCATTTCCTTCTCCAGGGGATCTTCCTGACCCAGGGATCAAACCTGGGTGTCTTACACCTCCTGCATTGGCAGGCAGCTGACTTTTAGGGGTGATTGTGGAGGTGACTTTTGAGGGAGGCAGAGAGGTCATCTTCGTGTGATTGGTGGAGACGTTGCCACTGGCAGCTGAAATGTCTGACTCCTTAGCAGGCCAGTTGTAAAATTGGATGCCCTTGGAAAGTGACAAATTGTAAAAAAGATGTCTCTGGGACATCTACCTCCTGATTTCTAGCATTCACATATATATTGCTTGTTCATCCATCTGTCCATCTGTCCATCCATCCAACCATCTGTCCGTCCATCCATGCATCCTCCCACCCATCCATCCATCTATTCATCCACACATCCATATAACCACCCATCCATCCATCCATCTGTCCATCAAACCGCCCATTCGTCCTCCATCCAACCACCTGTCCATCCATTCATCCTGTGCATATATATATACACATACATATGGTTGATGTACGGTGTGTATAGCATACATTTCTGTATTTGAGCTCCTCCTTTGTGCCACTGCTTTTCAGGGCTTTCTGGCATAGGGCAAGTGGAACTCAACTCTGTTCGCAGATTCTTTCTCGGGTTCCTCCTTTCTGCCTTAAAGCTGACCCCTCCCACCTCCACTCCTTGACAGGTCTGGGGATGGAACGCCTGCCTGTGTCTCGGGCAGGCTCAGTGCACAAGCAGAAAGGGGACAGGCTGTGGTAGAGGAGAGAGACTGACTGCAGGAATCGGGGGCTTACACCGCCGCCGGCAGGGCTGGAGTGGGGGTCACCAGGCCCCCAGTCACGGTCACGTCACCAGAGTGAGTGCAACCCAGACGTCACAAAGTCACTGCTGCAAACGTCAGTGGTCCCCACTACCTGGGCCCAGGTCCTAGAACGCAGGCCCAGACTCTGCAGAAAGAAGGTTTCTCACATTCCAGCTCCCCTCTGAGTGAAGAAAGTAATTTGCATCCTGAGCCGTTCCCCAGAGGAGTCTGGGAAATGTAGTTTTTAGCCCCCAGGCCCCGCGGAGCTCCTCCACATCAGAAGTACCCCAGTGATCGATCATGGCCGGGGTAACGAGGAAGCCGCCCGGCTCTGCTTCTCTGAAGCCTCGGAGCCACCCTGTTGGCATCACTCCTGGTTCTCAGGCGTGGAGGGGTCTCTGGTCAGGCTGCACAGCCAGTCCCTTCTGTCTTTCCTGAACCACCGGACGCATGGTGATGTCCACCCACGGGACGTTCTCTGATCAGAGGCAGGAGCTGGGAGGAGGGCTCTCGGTGTGGAGTGCCCGGGTCCCGGGAATTGGGCTGGGCTCTTTGCCGGTCACTTTCCTCATTGGCGTCTAGAGAGGCAGTGACCTCAAGATCATCTCCCCAGCGGATGATGCCGGACTTGATCCCACGCCCATCTTTCCCCAGAGGTGGCACCGCCTCCCAGCGGAACTCTTGCCCTGATAGAGATGCTGAGGCTGCTGGGTAGAGAGGGGCTTTGGCCTCGGCTGGGAGGAGAGTGTGGTGGGCGGTCCGGCTGGAGTCTCTTGGGCCTTGCCACGCCTTGGAGACGGTGAGAAAACGCCTGCTTGGCTCTGGCACAGGTTGGAGGGGTGGCTTTTTCAGCATGTTGCAAGAGCGGTCCGTAAACATGGCCCGGAAGGCTTCTGGAAAACCGTTCTCCCCGCCGGCCGTGGAAGAGGCAGGTTCGAGAGCCGGTGCGTCTGGGAAGACCATCATTGCGGCTCTCAGGGTGTGAGTCCCGCCACCAGCCTGGGTCTGCGAGGCCTCCTGGCCGCAGACGACCTTGGAGCCGAGTCTCAGAGATGAGCCAGGGCTCGGCTGTGTCTCGGGGCAGGTGAGCCAGCGGCTGGCGCGGCCGTCTCTTCCCACGGGCCGAGGCCAGGCCGGGGCTGGGCCGGGCACCCATGCCTGGCCAGCCTGGCTCTGCACCTCGGGTTGAGCGGACAGATGCTGGGGAGCCCCGTGGGGGCCGAACTCCCGTGGGGAGCAGATGCCTGGGTAGGCACTCTCTCTTCACGGCGGACGCCTACCTGGACCAGGGTGTCTTGGGTCCCCACCATGTCCCTCCCTCTGCAGGGGTGGAGAATCTCATCTCCCCGGTTTCTGGTCCCCTGATTAAAGGGACAGAGGTCTGTGCCAAAGCCAAGCTGTAGAAACAGCCACTGCTGGAACAGGTGCCCTCAGATCTGTGAAATCGGGGTGACATGGTGCCTTGCAGGGCACGGTGGACGGGTTGGGGTGGTGTGGTTAGTGATGGAGAGCCCACCCGGGCGCCCAGTGAGCCTCTTTAGCCTGCCACCTCCCCCAACCCCCAGTGCCTGACGGGGGGTGGTCTGCAGGGCGCCGTCTGCTCTTCCCTCTAGCACCGTCCACCACGCCTGCCCTGAATGCCCTGCCCGGCTCCGGCTCCCCTTGAAGGCTCCATTGGGGTGCTTCTCTTGTTAGGCACCTGCCCAGACCAGCACCGAGGCTGCATGGAGCCCCCGTCCCCCATCCCTGACGGCTGCGCTGGGCTCCGCATGTAGCAGCTGGCTGCTGGATGGCTCAGAACTCGGCGAGGGAGAAACCAGCCTTGATGGTCCTTTCTCAACGCCACAGCTTCCACCCTTGTTAAAAAGGGGAAAGTTGCCTCTTGAGCGAGTCTCAGGCACGTAAGGACTCTCTGGGGCAGAGAGCCAGTGAGCTGGGGAGGCCCAGAGAACCCAGGGGCACGCTTGTGTCAGCCTGGCTGCTGCACCCAGTGGTGAGTGTGGCCTTTTAGCAGCAAGTGTCAGCGTCCAACCCAAACTGGCATACACGTGGTGACAACTTATTGGTTTGTGTAGATGCGTCTTCTTCAGGTACAGCTTGATCCAGGAGCCTGAACTGTGCAGCAGAAATCTGTCCACATTTGCAGGAAGGCCCTCGTCCCACGCCCAGGGGAAGGCCACCTAGGGCTGCAGGCTCATCATCCAAGTGTGAAGCCTGCAGAGCCGAGAGGAAGAGGCCCCAGGATAGAGCTTCCTCGGCCTGGACCTGTCACATGCCCACCCCTGGGCCCAGCACCCGGGACAGGGTGGTGCTGCGCTCTGATTGGCCAGGGAGACCCAGGTGTCCTGGAGGAGGGGGCGTGGCAGCCCTGCCCACACGCACACGGACAGGTGGCTGCTGGCCACCGGGCTCCCCAGAAGCCCAGGGCGGCGCCTCGGCCGCACACGCCGTGACCTGTCGCGCTGACTCTGAATTTGAGTTCACTTCCTCTGCCTGGACTCCCAGGGCCTCTTGTCCATAGTAACACGAGCTGCGCTGTCCATCCAGGGCCTTGTTTACGGCAGGGGCCGTGTGGATCCCAAGCCTGTGGCCCTCGCTGCCTGGAGGTCTGGGGTCTTTGTGACGTGGGCCGCAGTGCGCTGGCGCACGGAGCCATCCTTTGCATCTGCGCGGGAAGGTCGAGCTCACCGTCCTAGGGGGCGCTCCCTTCCGTGCGGAGCCGCAGAGGGAGGTCGGGAACTTGCCGGAAGAGGCGCAGGTGCCCGCCCACTGTTGCCGTTGGTTCGGTGCTGTCTGGCCCTGTAGGCGTGGGTCTTCTGGGAGCAAATGGAGGCTGACTCTGTGCAAACGGTTATGGGAAAACTGCACTTCAGCTGGATAAGGATGGGGGATGAGATGTGCTCGCAGCCTGCCCGCTGTCCTTAGTGGCACCCGGGGGCAGGGCCCGCGCTCGGCAGTCACATAATGGGCGTCACGGGCCGTCAATCACTCCCATTTCGTAAGACCACCCTGGGTAAAGTCGCTTCCATCAGCAGTGGGAGCTAACGCCGCCTTTCAGCTTCTGTTTGGGGTGGGTTTCCTGTGATGCTGAGAAGAGGGATCTGGGAGCCCGGGGCTGGTGCAGCACCTGGGGGGAAAAAGGAGCAATGTGAGGGCCGAGTAAGAGAGAGTTCCACCTGGGGGTGGCCGCCTGCAGGGACCGGGGTGGGAGCTGGCCCTGTGCATTTCTGCAAAGTGGGGTGTCCTGCCACCTAGAGCGCCTGGTTTCGGAGCTGATCCCTCAGCCTCTTCAGAGGGTCAGAGGCGGTCCTGGAGCGGGCGGAAGGAGGGGCTGAGGGCTGGTTTCCAGCTCATCTGCACCCTCGGGCGCGCCCTTCCTGCTCGTGGCTAACTTGTCACCTTCCCTTTGTCCTCTCAGCTCAGCCAGCAGATCTCCTGAAGGTTCTAGATTTTCACAACCTGCCTGATGGAATAACCAAGACCACAGGCTTCTGTGCAGCGCGGCGATCTTCCAAAGGCCCGGATGTCGCCTACAGAGTCACGAAAGATGCCCAGCTCAGCGCGCCCACCAAGCAGCTGTACCCTGGTAAGAGATGGAGTGTGTGCCTAGCGGGGGTGTGGCTCCGCTTCCCACCCCCAACCAGGCGGCAGAACCCGGAGCCTGAAGCCGGGAGTGGCGGGGAGGCGGGGAGGAATGTCTAACAGAGGGAGAAGTGTGCTTGGTTTTCCGGAAAGGAGCCTGATTTGATGTCAGGAGAGTGGAAGCTCACGTCTAGCACCGGTCACCATCTGCACCCAAAGGTGGGAGTGGGGTCTCGTCTGCTCGCACTGCTTCTCCAAGCAGGTGTCTCTCCAGCAGGGGGCTGGCTGTTGGGACTCCAAAGGCCACACAGAGATGCATGGTTCCTGGGGGGCGGGGGGGCGGTTAAGAAACCCCGGGATCACGGAAACGAAACACTTCCAGACTGAAGCTTAATTGGCGGTGAGGACATTAAGAGACACATGTATCAAACGTCAGAGCCCCCTGCAAGAGAGAGCAGGGTTTTAATGAAAACCAGTTGCCAAGTGTCACATCGCTGCTTTTAATGACGAGCCCAGAGCGGGAGCGGTGGTTGCTGGTAGGCCCCCCTCCACTGCCCGCCGGCCTTGGGGCCCGTCTGGACTGAATGACCAGGCCTGTAACTGATAGCCTCTCCCCCCACTTCAGCGGAGCTCTTCTTCCCGATTGATATCAGAGAGGGCCCGGGGACCCTGGGTGGATGCACTTCCCCCGGAGATGGTCTATAATCCTCAGAAGCATGAGCATCACCTTTCCGGTGATGGCCTGCCTTGAGGACATTGATCCTCGGGTTGGGCAGTCCTTCGGCCGGCAGTGGGGTCTGTCAGCCACATGCCCACAGGGTTCCAGAAGGATGTGCTCTTTCAGAGCTGCGTTTGCTTTCTCTGGCCCTTTCACTTTGACCCTCTGCTTCCTGCCCGTGTTTTCTCAGCCTCTCTTTAAATCCACAGGGACTCTTAGGAGTTTGTCTCTGCGAGAGAGGCTGGGTCTGCTCTTTCCAGGAACGGCATTTGGGCCAGTGAGCTACTTCAGGGGCCCCAAGGCTCTTCACTGAGTCTTATGGAGCCCCCCCCGCCCGACCAACTTGGGGTGTCAGACGTCGCCCCTCCAGAGTGCCTGACCAGCACTGCAGACGGGGCTCACCAGGGTCCCACAGGTCACTCACTGCAAAGAACCTCGCGGATGTCACTCTGCCGCGTGTCCAGAGAGCCTTTCTTATCCTTTTGGGGCCGATGTGTTCTCAGAATCACCCAGAAGCTGTCTGCTCTCCTGCCCCGAGTCCCCAGTTTAGGATTCCCCTCCTGGGGGGCTGAGGGGCTGGGGGCAAGGGAGTCTTGGGCAAGCTGCTGGCCCTGGACCCTGGTGCCTGCGCTTTGGGACAGACATCCACTGTGCGACGTGTGAGTACTGTGGTCATCTCGCGAGGTGTCCTGCCCCGAGGCCGTCTGGAGCCTTTTTGCTGGCAGCTAGTTTAATCTGATCCCTGCCGCACAGTTCAGGGTCACAGCCAGCTCCCCGGGGTTGGCGTCCTATACCCACCCTCCCCTGTGTTATCTGGTGGCGAGTGATGTCAGAGGGTCTCAGGATACAGGCTGCTTACTGGAGATCTGGTATGAACTCCGAAACAGCCAGACGGGGAATTTCTTTTAAGCCCACAGTTTCCTGAGGCTCTCAAATTAGGATCTTCATTAGATGCTGAAAGAGTTTAAAGGGCTGTTACCGGGCCTCCAAGCCATAATTCGCTCATGGAGTCGAATGGGTCCTATGTAACGCTCACCTCCTTAACGCCAGGTGAAACTGGCTGCTCCTTCCGGATGGTTTAGGTGGACGTTTCCCCGGGTCTTTCCTGCAGTCCGGGGGTGATGACCACGCCCAGCCTGCCTGTCCTTTCTTCCCTTGGAGCCTCTGTTGGATGAGGCTCAGGTCCTCGGTGGGGTCGTCCCCTGCCCCCAGCCTTGATGTCAGTTACCCCCCAGAGCCGCCCACACCAGCCTCGCCCGCTCACCTGTCCTCCAGGGCTGGGCCCCTACCTGCCTCCAGGCCGTCCCCTGGGACGTCGGGGGCCACAGGCTGGCTTTTTCAGACACCCGGCCCGCTTCCCAGCAAGTGAAGAGCAACAGCGTGGTGTTCTATGCCCTTGCCGGCGAAGCGGGCGCTTGCATTCCTGCCTGATCTGAGAAGGATTCTCTAGTCTTGCTTGCAGCCTGTGGTCTGGGCTCTGAATCGGCAGGACCAAGAGCGTGACCGGGCCAGGCGGTGCTGGGTCTCCTGACCCCGTCTGGATGGAGCCACAGGGACTGAATCAGACCCGAGGATGGTGGTCTCTGCAAGGACCGGGTGCCGCCAACCAACCGGAGAGGGCTGCCCAGCTTGCCGGGCGGCAGGTGGGGGGTTCCTGGGCCTTGTCGCCCTGGTTGCCTGCAGTGGGGGTGGGGGGACCTCACGTGGTGGTAAAGCCGGCCTGAGACCCTACCAGAAACTGTCACGGGCCCTCCTGGAGTGTGCCAGCAGGTGTGTTCCAGGAGGCTGCCCGGCCGCTGGCGGGGCGCCCCTGCGTCCCCTGAGACACTGGCCGGCTGCCCTCGCCCAGGTCTAGCCGCCCCCTCTGAAAGCGTCCAGACAAGGCAGCCTGCCCGTGGTCGCCTGGCCCTCTCCCCTGTGCTCGTGGCCGGGCGTGGGGGGCACTCCCCATTTCAGCCTCCCTCTGGTCACCTTGGGGCCCCGAGATGCTCTCAGATCACTGCCTGGGATCTGAGCGGGGCGGGGGGGGAGGACCGGGTATAATGACGCCCCCTCCCCCGCAGCCACCACCCTGTTGGGCCTTCCCTCCGCGACAGGCTGGGGCTCCAGAATCAGCCTGTGTCCACCAGAACCTGAAACTGTTGGCCCAGCCACTGTTGGCCTCGTAGGGTTCAGTTTAATGGCACGTGCATTTATTGAGTGCCCATGGTCTACCCAAACTGTTCCAGTGCCTTTGGGCTTTGGCCCGTGTGAACAGGAGATGATCTAAGGGAGTCGGGGGCCTCTCACCAAGCCTACCGCTCAGTTTTGACTTTTCTCTGAGGATAAAATACGAAGCCCTGGGCAGAAGGCGAGCTTCTCCCTGACGGTGTAGATCACGAAGCACACCAGTCCCGCTCACGCGGAGATGAAAGTGGGCCGTCTCTGAAGTGATGATACATCCATTGTTATTTTGCCAGGAGAGGGATGANCATTCGGAGGACAGTGTGGGGGGACACTGGTGACGGCAGTGGCCTCCACAGACCTCTTTTCAAACGGCTTCTTGTGCAGAGAAGGGCAGCCTGAGTCCACTCCTTAACGAAGCCAGCCTTCCCCCAGGTGACCATGCTGACCACACCCCCTCCCCTCGGACCTGGGACCCTGGCTGGGTGTGGTGGTGACCAGACGTTCCCTGCTTACCTACCCCTTGATCAGACTCTTCTTGCAGCCTTTCCGTAACACCACCAGCCAAGCCCACCCCCTCTCTCCCCACCTGGGCGATGAACACAGCAAATAGATCCCAACTTGCAGCTTCTCAGCAATGGGGCCTGATCCTGGGCTGAGAGCCACACGCCTCCCTGCATCTGCACCGTAGCCTGAGCTTTGGGGCCAAGGCATGGCTGCTTCCACCTGCCCTCCATCACGGCCTTGAGAGCTCACAGAGTTGTGTTGGCCTTTGGGGTGTGGTTTCTGTGCTGGCAAAGCTGCCATGACCCCTCTTATCCTCCCCATAGAGAGACCCATCCACCCTGGGTCCTCCGGGGGCCACGAGGGCGGGGATCTCCTGGGCAGCGCCCTCCGCCCAGCAGGGCATTGGCCAGGCTCCCCCACAGGGGCCCGAAGCAGAGCCCTGCTGCCCGGCTGTGGGGCAGTTCCATCAGCAGAGGGCGCCCACGGACAGCTTCCTTACTGGACGGGAATGTGTCAGTCGCTCAGTCCTTTCTGACTGTTTGCAACACCGTGGAATGTAGCCTGCCAGGCTCCTCTGTCCACAGGATTCTCCAGGCAAGGATACTGGAGTGGGTTGTTATGCCCTTCTCCAGGGGATCTTCCCGACCCAGGGATTGAACCTGGGTCTCCTAAGTTGCAGGCAGATTCTTTCCATCTGAACCACCAGGAAGGCCCCCCTCACTGATCCCAGCTCAGGCACCGGGCCATCTGGTCGACCTCATGATAGTTCTAGAGGAGGGGAGGGTCGATGAGGGGCTCCGTCCTCACCCGGAGCCGGGACCGGGCTCCAGCTGTCTGCAGCATGCCAGGCGGGAGGTGCTATCAGCCTCGGGGCCTTGTCCTTCCCGGGCCGGAGTCCCCGCTGGCACTCCTCTGGGCCCGCTCCGCCCCGGGTTCTGAGACGCGCGCTGACGTGTGCTGAGCCTTCCTTCTGTGCATCGATTGGCCCAGCCTCAGGCCGTCGCTCTCGGGGAACTGCAGACGGCGCAGAGGGAGCACCGCTGCCCCCACCACCAGGACGGATGGGAGAGGGGGCCGAGGTTTCCTGTCCCATCCACGACGCAAGGCGTGAAGGGCTTGTGTGTGTGCAGGACTCTGGAGCCAGCGGGGGTCTGGCTGGTCTGTGCTGTGAGGAACTCTGCCCCCATCAACATACCAGGCCTGGGGTTTCGTCTTCTGATTTATTTTACCTTTTCTCTGATTCACTATCAACCAGGAAATGTCTGCCATTCGAGTGGTGATCCCCAGCCTCTTGCCTTCCTTCCCCTCTTCTCTCTCCTCCCGGCCTCCAAAGGGTGTGGAATGAGACACACTCTGCTAGGTGCAGCGGTGGGCACTGCAGAGGGTTAAAGGTGCATCTGAAACAGCGCCTGCCCAGAGGAAGCTCACATTCTAGAAAGTTCTAAGGACTTAGACACAGATGTTTTGAAGTTTGGGAAGTGAAAAGGTGGTACTGAAGGCTCACAGTTGGAAGGAGCAGTCAGGTTTCCTTTTGGACTGAACCTCAAAAGGGGTAGGTTTGGCTGTGTGGTGTTAAGGAAGGGTTGCAGGAACAGTTTGATCCAGGGGCAGATGTGACGCAAATGCCTGTGCACCACCATCCACAGCAATGGCTTCTGGGTCCCTGAGTTGGTTTGTTTGCAATTCTGTGGCTGGGCAGGGTTGGGGGCCTCCCAGCTGCCTCCTAACCTCTGTCCTCTGTTCCAGCATCTGCGTTTCCCGAGGACTTCTCCATCCTAACCACTGTGAAAGCCAAGAAAGGCAGCCAGGCCTTCCTGGTCTCCATCTACAACGAGCAGGGCATCCAGCAGATCGGCCTGGAGATGGGCCGCTCTCCAGTCTTCCTCTACGAGGACCACACGGGGAAACCGGGGCCAGAGGACTACCCCCTCTTCAGAGGCATCAACCTGTCGGATGGCAAGTAAGTGGCACCGCTTGGCAACCCCTCCCTCCCCTGCCAGAGGGTCGGGCGGGTCACGTAAAGCCGCTGGGAACTAGGGACCTAGCAACAGGATGTGATTTAGAGCAGGATGGTGTCAGCCCGCCCACAGGTCAGAGAGAGCACTGGGCTTGGAGTCTGGGGGACTGGTCTCCATCTGGGCTCATCCTTTGTGGCTCTGGAGACCTCTCCTCTCCCAGGGCCTCCCTGGCCCCCTTGTAAAGTGCACTAGATGATATCAAATGCTTGTCTGCGAGTGCCCGCAGGGACACGGGAGACTGTGTAGGGAGACCCAACCTCTTCCAGAGAGGATTCGAGGCGTCCTCAAGGGCGCAGAGACAGGGAGGGCGCAGCACCCACTCCAGGACTCTTGCCTGCGGAATCCCGTGGACAGCGGGCTCTGGCAGGCTACGGTCCATAGGGTTGCAGAGTTGGACACGACTGAAGCGACTTAGCGCGCACACAGGGATACAGATACGGATGTGAGGGTGACTGATTGAGAAAGAAGTCAGGGTTTTCAGAACTCTGTTGGGTAACCTGCCTAAACCCTGATCGTTTGCGATCACTCATTTCGTGGCCTACACGTCTGAGGCCACATGCCGCGGTGCTTCAGGAACTCAGGACGTGAGTCCTGCATTTCTCTCCAACAGTCTCGAGTAGGTCCATCGGCGCCCCCATCTCCCAGCAGACTCAGTTCCCCCACAGCCTGCGTTTGCACTTGGGGGTCGAGATGCTCCACAGGCAAGTGCCACAGCGCCTCCCTGCCCTTGAACAGAACCAGGTTTCGGGGCTGTGCCCCGGGCCGGACAGCTGACCTCGTCCCAGAGACGACAGACCGGACCTGAGTGCAGGAGGTCTCCCGTGGCGTGCGGTGTGGACCGGTGCCCACGCCTGTCTGACCTCAGCGGCTCGGCTCCAAGCGACTCTGCAGAGAACGGGGTTCCTCCCGCGTCTCCTGGGACTTTGGGCAGAGACACACATCATGGTGACGTCCGCCCCCCGTCACCTGCTCGGGCTGTCTGTTTTTTGGCAGGTGGCACAGAATCGCTCTCAGCATCCACAAGAAGAATGTCACCTTGATCCTGGACTGTAAAAAGAAGACGACCAAGTTCCTGGACCGCAGCGACCGCCCTGTGATAGACGTCAATGGCATCATCGTGTTCGGCACCCGGATTCTGGATGAGGAAGTGTTTGAGGTCAGTGGGGGGCCGGGCCATCCCACGCCCCCAGGACACACCGGTGTGTGGTCCCCGTCGGCGGGCCTGTCCTATGCCCGGGGCCTGGGGCCAGCCGGGCCGACGCCCTGTGGCCTGTATCCCATGCTTCGCTGCAGGGGGGATGTGTGCTGACCATCCCGCTTCTATTAAGGGCAGGACTGATGTCTGCCTGGGGAGACGGGCAGGTGGTTGGATGAGCCCTTGGGCTTTGAGCGCGTGGCAATGAGGCAGCTCTGGTCTTGTCTCTCTGCAGGCTCCTACCGGGGCCGTGTGTGTAGCTGTGAGAGGTACATGGGGACTAGTCTCGGTGCAGGCCCGAGGGGTGGGACTTCCGGCCTTGGGCAGCTTGCTATGACGCTTGAGCCTCAGTGTCTCTATCTGTAAAGTGGGATCATGAATGCAGCTTTTTCATAGACCGTGGCAAAACTTACAGTGGGGTTGAATGCGGTAAAGCACCACTGCCCGCTCCCAGCAAGCGCTTGACACACGTCAGCCTTGATCGCGGCCTGGCGTCGGAGCAGGTGGGAAGGTGGACAGAGCACAGTTGCTCGGATGTGGATTAGCAGGGAAATCAGAGGAGCCGCCTCTGTGGAAGCGGGGGGTGGGGAGGACCAGCGTGTGAAGGTAGGTCTGTGCGTCCTGCTGAACTTGGCCGCTTTTCTGCAGAGCAACTGCCCAGGGCGCCCGCAGCCTGTGGACCGCAGGGCGGGCTGGGCTCCTGGGCCCAGCTGGCGCTGCCAGATGTGGGGCATAATGAGGACACACCCTCTGAGCGTGACTCTGCTCCGACCACACTTGCCCGGAGAACCGGGATGAACTGCAGGACGGCTGGGCTGTCCTCACCCAGGCCTGAGCGGCTTCAGGGCTCCCCGGGGGAACTGGTGCCCAAGGCTTGGGGGCCGCACAGACTGGGACTGAGTTTTCGCTGCTGTAGACTTCCTGCTGGTGCGAGGATCTGGAGCAAATGCCACTGGGGAGCTTCAGGACTCGTGTGTAACACGTGGGTGCTGGCAGCCTTGCCTTCGCGGGGGGCTCTCCGGGGCTCCCCTGTGAAGCGCTTGGCTTGGGGGCCTGCCCACGCCCGGGAGTCTGGGTGACTGCCGCTGCCCTCGGTCCTCTCGCTGGACGTCTGAGTGCAGAGGAGGGCCCGTAGGCAGACTGGGATTTGAACTCAGGTGCCGTGCCGTGGCTTGCCTGTGCAGGGCCCGATCTGGATCTGTCTGATTTCTGGTCCCTTTTGTGCACTGCTAGTGGGTCTTTTATTGTAAAGATTCAGGCGAAAGCTTCATCTATCTTAAAAGGATCCTACGCCAAATTCTTCTTCCCTGATTTTCCGAGCCGGAAGAATTGTTTTCCCACGAGCACAAGCCTGTCGAGACTCCAGGGCTGTAGGGAGCCCTGGGAAGGTCAGGGCGGGCTCGAGTCCCAGCCGCTCCGTTTATGAGCCACGCGGTCTCCTCGCTGCCCCGAGTTGCTCGTGCGGGGGAGGGGTGGCTGAGGACCACCGCCGCTTTACCCAGGTTTATTGTTAGAGAGGGAAAACAATTTATGATTTTCAAAAGAAAGTGAAGTCGCTCAGTCCTGTCAGACTCTTTGCAACCCCATGGACTGCAGCCTACCAGGCTTCTCCGTCCATGGGATTTTCCAGGCAAGAGTACTGGAGTGGGTTGCCATTTCCTTCTCCAGAGTATCTTCCCCACCCAGGGATCGAACCCAGGGCTCGCGCATTGTAAGCAAGACGCTTTACCATCTGCTCCACCAGGGAAGCAGATCTCAGATTGGATAGCTCAGGTTTTTCTCCTCTGAGGGCCTCCCGACTCTCAGGGGAGGTCTTGTTCAGTTAGTGGGCAGGCTTTCGACTGCCGCTCAGAAATAGGTTCGGAATTCCAGGAGCCCTTCTTCATGGTTGTGGCTTTCAATCTGAGGCTGAGGGGTTGCCAAGCACCAGAGACTTCTGTTGACCGCACACTCACGCTGTGAGGGAAGCTGTTCCATAGCCTTGGCCTTTCCCGGCTGTTGGACCTGTCTGCGTCGGAAAACGTGGCCCGTCCTTCCTGCTGAAGACCGGGGAGCCGGGGGTGGGGTGCCCTCAGGGCCCCGAGCACTGTTGTTGCTTTTCTTCCTTCGCAAATTAAGTTGGTGGGAAGGGGTGGTCCTCAGGTTCCCAGCCACCCTTTGTCTTGTGGCAAGTGAGACAATCTTTATTTTTATGTTTGGAAATAAAAATGATTTAACTCTCGACTTTTCAGCAGATTCCAGATAGCAGCACTTGCCATTTTAACCGTTTTGGTTCCTAGAGGCGTCTCCTTAGAAGGAGGAGCCAGCACTGTTGAAAACCATTTCCCAGCAGCCACACTCTTCCCTGGGGAAGGTGACTTCCCCTCATTAAAATCCGGTTTGTCCTGAAGCTCTGCAAGCCACAGCGGGGAGCCGGAAGGTTCTGGTACTTTGGTGGATGGCCAAGTGGCCGCTGGCACAGTCTGGGCTTTGCGATTTGCACTGTTTCCAAACGGGGACTTGCTGAACTTTAGAGCGTCTTTTGGGGGTGCCGGGCTTTCCTGGGGTGCATATGGCCCCATGGAGGCCTCTTTATCCAGAGAGAGCAGGGGGTGGAGACCAAGGACCAAGGCAGACAAGTGCTTCCCGCAGCGTGGTGCCCGCTCTCAGCCAGAATGCACCCTGCCGGGGGCCTCCCTGGTGCCGCCGCTGGCCTGGGCGTGCGGCTGGGCAGGCGGCAGCCGCCCCCCGCTCCCTGGGGCCCCCTCCCCGCCCTGGCCCTGGTGTGAGCCTGGTTCTGGCGGGGCCGCCCTGCAGTCGGGGGCACAGCGCCACCCCGTCCCTCCAAACCACCCGGGGGGAGTAGGGTGCACAGCGGCCTCAGGCGCCTCCTCTCCAGCCGATGGCCTGGAGCCCACCTCCGGCCCGTGGTCCTCATCTGCAGAATGGGCACGGCTGGGCCAACGCTTGGGTCCCGGGGTGCCCCGTGACGTGCGTGAGGCGCCCGCACCGTGGGACCGTAGTGAACCTTCCGCACCAGTACCCTGGCAGAGTGGTGGCCCGTCGTCAGCTCCCGCCGGGGCCTGACCCCTTAGCCGTGGTGGCAGCCGTGACCGAGGTCCCCCCCACGGGGGCACGGGGCCACACGCTGTCCCGCGTCCCACCTTGAGACTTCAGTGCTGGCCGCGCGCCTCGGAGACAAGGGCCCCGTGCCGTGCAGGGCTGGGCCGCCTGGGCTCATGGGCTCCTGGTCCTGGGCCCAGAGACCCGCGGGGAGGCTGGCACTGAGTGGTGCCTCCCCAGGCAGGGTGTTCCTGGGCAAGGTCCCCGTGGCCCGTCCCTCCGGGTGCCCTGGCGGCTCAGGCTGGCTCCCCGGTCACTGCTTTCCCACCTCGCTGACCTGGCCAAGCCCCCGCCTTTGCCCACCTGTTCCCAGGTGGAGCTCATGCCTGCGGGCTGCCCGGGGAGCTGCCTGCTGGCGTCTGCAGTGACATTCCCAGGAGCTCTGTGCCATGTGTCCTGCCCCTTCTCCTGGGGAGGGTCTGCACCCTGGGACTGGAGAGCCGCAGGGGCTCCCCAGGCTTTGTCCCACCCTCCGGGGGCCTGCTGTCAAGGGAGGTCGGGGATACTTCTTCAGACCCCCACCAAGAGTGGTCCTGCAGGCCCCCCCGTGCAGGAAGACGTCTTGTGTTCGCCCCGGGCTTAGGAACAAGCTTTGTGTTTTTGGAAACAGGCGAGCCTGCCAGGGGAGCGAGTGCATCTGGCAGGCGGTGGGAAGTGGCTGCTCGTCTTCGAGGGCAAACCTGGGTGGGAGGCCAGGCGGGGCCGCCTGCAGGGCCCCGTGCCAGCTTACCGCCTGTGCGCTCTGCCCTCCCCGCGCTGGGTCACCCGGCGCCAGAGAGGTTGAGTAACTTACCGAAGGTCACCCAGCGGCCAGAGAGGTTGAGTAACTTACCGAAGGTCACCCAGCGGAACTGCCGTGCAGTGGTGTCGGCACCCGCACCTGTCGTTGCCCAGGGCCCACGGCCTGTCCCGAGGGAGTCATGGGGGGGCGGGCGCGACAGTCCCAGCCGCCCGGCATCTCTCTACTGTCCGACTGCGGGAACCGGGACCATCGCAAGCGAGGTCACCTCCCTGGTGGCCCCAGCCATGCTGGTGGGTGCCCGTCATCCTGCGCAAGCCCCGAGCGCGCCAGAGTCCCCAGGCTGGAGGGGTCTGGGAAGCCCTGGCGCCTGACAGGCAGAGCCCGCACAAGCTGCTGGCGGGGTCGGTGGCTGCCAGAGCTGGCCCCCCCTGCGTGACTGGGGCCCTCTGCCCGCCCAGCACTGTCCCCGGGCCTGGACTCTGACGGCCAGGGCTCACCTGGTGGACCCTGCCGCCCGCTGGGCTCCCCTGTGTGCCTGGAGCTGGCCGATGCTCCAGACGGAGGAGTCTGCAGGGTGGGATGCAGGTGTTCCGGAGGGTGGGATGAGGGGCACCTCAGGGCCTGTCAGGGAAGGACCCTCTCAGGGGAGGGTCTGCCCTGGGCTCCTTGGGGGAAGGACCCTCCTCTCGGGTGAGCCTCGAAAGGGAGGGAGATGTGGAGGAGGAGACCTTCCCTGGGGGACGGGGAGCCAGTGAGTTCTGGGCCAGGAGTCAGATCCTCTTTTAAGCTGTTGAAACTTTCAAGGGCAGCACGACTGAACAGACTATAAACTGGAGGTTTTCTCTGCAGACCCCGTGGGTGCCTGCAGGGAGGGAAGGGCCTCGCGCCCTAGGAAGGGTCCTGCTGTCTGTCTGCTGTCCCCCAGCTCCTGCACGGCCCCGGTGGTGTACCTAATCCCCGAGGCCCTTTTTCCAGGAGCCTGTCTTTTCCACTGACATGGTCTTTCTTGGAATTCAGCTCTCCTGGGGTGGGAACGGGGCCATAACCCGAGAGGCGCTTCCCTGACGGTTCTCAGCGGCGGCCTGGGATCCCTCTCTCGGGAGGGTGGCTCGCGCTT